AAAAAGAAAAAGAAAAAGAAAAAGAAAAAGAAAAAGAAAAAAAGAAAGGAGAAATTGAAGAAAGAGCTTACTAGACCTTTTTGTAAGCTGAGTACATTTGGGTTACAACTACCCACACCAATCATCCAAAACAGAAAGATGCTGCTGTCCAAATTCCTCTAATACTTCATCCACTCAGCTACTGTACATCCACTGTATATCCAAGGTGTAGATAGGAACCTTTTTAATAAAGTCTCCCTCTGGGAAGAAAATGTGCACACAGAAAATTGCCAAACTGTGAACACCTTTGTTGTTTCTGTTTCTTCACAACAATGTTATCCTTTCATACCATGAAATACTTTTGAAATGACACTGGCCAAACCTTAATTGAAAATCTCCAAAGCATCCTTGTAATGCTACTTACCAGCCTGTTTTTTCCTTCAGATTTCCTGACCTCTGGAGACTAAGCTCAGCAGTTCGTGCAAATCAAAACTGGCATTTGTAGAGGTCAATTTATTTCCAGGGAATCATAAATTATGGACATGGATTTGTTGTTTTTAAAACTGAGTRTGGTAAAAGCTCAGTCTGGTCAAAGTATGTGTAACCAAGATCTCCTTTTCAGCATTCCTGTATAGGTAGTTAGACAAAAGGATATTTTAAGAGGGAATCTAATCTTATGCTGGTGGCTCTTAACTTACATATATTCATAAATGAATGACCTTACTTTTTAAAAAATACTTTTTTCTATTTGTATAAATGCTTTTCTTGGTAAACAATTGAATCAAAATAACATATCTTCCTATTGCACCTGTCTTAGTAAGTGTTGCATATGTAAAAGAGCACCTTGAAATTATACATTCAAAATATTATTAATTAGTCATTGAAAGGTGACGGGAAATATTTAACAGTGGGTTATATCCAGAAAACTTTCCAATATTTGTGAAGAATTGAGTTTCTCAAACTGCTTGCAACAAAACCTTAACAGTTACCATTGCACTTGCTTTAACAGAGGATTTTTATCTTTTCAGAAATACCTGTTGTATTTTTTCTATGTACTTTTCTATATCTGTTCCTCCCATTTCTGGTATTTTTTCATTTTACGAGGAGATAGGAAATTGTATTAATTGGACAAATAGATCCCAAAAATCTAACTGTATACTTTAACCACAAATTTTGACGAGGTACTGGAATGTTTTTCAATAACCATAAAATGTCACTATAGTTTGAAGATCTTTTTAAACTCACATAACTAATCTGAATTTCTATTCCTTGAACCATATTCCTATAAAAAGAAAATTCATGCAGTGAATTGACAAGGAATTCCCAAGATCATGAATTTATCAAGACAAGAAGGAATTTTACATGTTGTACAGTCAATAATCCTCAGATGTAATAACCAATGCTTAAAAACAAGAAAAAAATAGTAATGAGATGGATATCAAAACTCATGTTTCAGGCTTTAAAGCAAATTCTAAGTCCTGGGATTTAAAATTCAATCTTTGTGAAAGAAGATTATCCGCTATTTCCATATTTATCTACTCAGGGGGTTTCTTTTCTCAGATACACATCCTGTAGCTATCTCAAGGGCAGATTACTGTATTAGATAGCTTGTGTCCCTGATGCAGCCCTTTACTGTAGTCAGACTGCACACACAAATGTTTACATGTTTCCTGTAGAGCTGCAATCATTTCTTAAATCTGCCCAGAGACTATGAGGTGGTGTCAGGAACAGCAGAAAAGGGACTTTCCCTTAACTGCAGAAAGTGCACTGGCCTTGCTCTCTGGTTTGGAGGACACCCATTGTGTTAAACACGTGGGACTGTCTTTTGTTCTTCTGGCAGAAAGCTGATAACATCTTTTACAGACAAGTTTTAAAAATAACAATATAGACTTTTCTGTCCAGACAGTCATTTTAAAACTGTAGGCCCATTGAATGCAATGTTGATTGCAGACAGAATTACAAGCAATTACAATTCATGAGTGCTGTACAAAAATCATGTTCTGACACCCTTTGTTCTCAAGTGTGGTTTTATTTTCAGCCCTCATTTCTTTGAAGTTACTGGGAAAATGAATACATGCATCTTCTGGRCTGTATTTTCAAAAGGTCAAAAACAGGGCATTTAACCCTCTGGGAAACACGGTGCTCTTGTACTGGAAATAGGGGCCTCCTTGTGGCTCCTGACCTCTCTGAAAAGTGCAGCCTTAAAGTTTATTAACGAAGTATAATCATTCATTTCTTTAAACCTCTGTGCTGGGTTATTTCTCAAGTGTAACCCAAAACCCCAAACAAATGGTTTAAGTCAACCTGCAATCAGTCTCATTGCTGCTGGAGGAGGTCTGGCTGAGCTAGTCAAATATCCTGCAGTACCTATAAATACCTTTCTCATGGCACTAATCAAGGTTCACAAAAGAAAGAAGGAATAGTTAGGAACACAGATCTGACCTTGAAGGAAAATTACAGAATGCTATGAGGTTAGAATCTGTCTTCTTGGCTTTGAAAATTTCTTTTCTGAATATATTTTTAATGACATGACACTGGCAATGCCACCTTGGATCATACCTACAAGCAGTCTAGTAGGTGTCTTGTGAAAGGTATTAACTGGTAAACATGCAGTCATACTTTCCTTGATCATAGAAATTATATTTGTGGCTCTCATGAACCAAATGCAATACATTTATATTCAATAGGTCTTTCATAATTTTTTTCCATTGACTTGTACAATGATGTCTTTGAAGACATATAGAATCATACCACCCACAACATCTTTTAAACATGCACAATTTATCTGTTATCTACTTCTCCTTTGAATTTGCCCCCTGACGGTTTCATTTTATTTTTCTTCACTGTTACAGTGTACAATGGTTTGCTGTTACTTCCTCCATATCCCGTTCTGAGTTTCAGAGAACTCTGTCATATTCCTTTTTCTCCATACTGAAATTCCCAGAATATTTAATTGTTCCAGGCATAAAGACACAAAAGCACACCTTAGTCATTCCTTATCACCCTATTCAGAACTTTTTTAAAGAGCTTTTTTCAGAAATCTGTTCATGGTTCTTTAACACAATAGCATCATTAAAAAATAAGGCTAGAATGGGATGAAAACAGATGGGATCAAATAAAATCACGCAACTTTTCCTCATATAGATATCATTCCAAGAAAGTGTAGAAATGTGACAAACCAGCCCACAAAGAAAAATGATTAATGCAATCTTAATATTGATATGGTAACAATGAACACATTTAAAGACACTTGCTCACTATTCATTATCGAAAAAAAAGGTATGGAGTATAGTTCTTATGATATTTTGTGTCTAAATGGATATTTGCTGTTAGAGTATGTGGATAGGCTAAGGAGTGAAACCCCAATATACTCAGCATTTACACGTTTTAAAGCATTCTAGTGAAACAGGCTGGGAACTTCTTGAAAGCAAAATGCATACACACTTATCAACTGAATTACTCACATAGCTTTTCTGAGATATCAATCTCATGCATCTCAGCAAAATTCGTACATTCATAAAAGTTTGGTGTCAGTTGTCAGAAGGGAAGTAGAAGGAATAACTCACGGATGGCTTGATGTCTTGGTCCTTCTATTCACAGTCTGTGTCATGTATTGATATTGTTATCTACATTCCAGCTCAGGATTAGCTGGCAGAGGTGTGCACAGACCTTTGAATAGAGTCTGAATTACTGCACAGGCAAAGGCACTTTGACATACAGCTTTTCCATTTGTTTGGAACATTCCTCTGTGCATGGTCTGTGCACGCAAATTCGATACATTAATTTTTATGTGTTCTTTGGTTTCTCATGTTCTTCTTATGCTTTGCCATCTAGGATCACCCATGGCTGGGGGCATTCATCATGCTTGAGCATGCCCTAGGTTGTACTTGCCTGTTTTCTAAATTTGTCCTGGCATACTGTCTCTCCTAGAGGCCAACAGTAAATGTCAGAAAACAAAATGAAATCTGCCCTTTCTGGGTGAGCTCTCACATTCTCTTCTGCAAGGGGCAGCAGAAGCCAGCCCTCGTGCTGCATTCACAGCACCTGCTCAGGCCTCTGAATGTTATGTGCCCTAGAGCTTGTCAGTGCCCATGACTTCAGTTCACCTCCACAGATTGTCACTCAGACAGACAGGCATTTTACCCCGCAGATGTAACTACATACTCTATCTCCATCTTTTCTCATTTAGACTGTTTCTTCCTTTAAGCCTTTCTTTTCACTTATCTTTCTCTACTTCCTTCCTTCCTTCCTTCCTTCCTTCCTTCCTTCCTTCCTTCCTTCCTTCCTTCCTTCCTTCCTTCCTTCCTTCCTTCCTTCCTTCCTTCC